GGGCTGGGGGATTTGCAGCTTTTATCTACTTTTATCTACGCAGCTTTTATTTGGTTATAGTAAAGATTAAAGCTATAACTATTCTTGTAATTCTACTTCATAAAATTGAGAAAACAGTGTAAATAAATTGAAATTGAATTGAAATGAAATGAAAAAGTTTGAACCCTTCAATTCAATTTCAGCTCAATTTCTTACTGATGCCCCTCCCCCCTGCAACCCTCACCCCTCACCCCTCCCCTCCTCCACCCCTTCCACTCTCAATGAAAGACGTACCTTCCTTTACTTAAAAGTGGAAGGGGCAAAACTAAAAAAAAATTAGTATTTGAGGTCATGATAGTGTCCTCCATAGCACAAGAGAATGGAGGAGTCTAAAAGAGATTATCCTGTGATTTTATCCTTCTTCATGATATCCCAGAGAATGGTCCTTAATCTTTTGGATTGCTCATCATGTTCTAACTAGTCATTCATTTGTGATACAATTTGCATTATCTGAGCAAGTAATATATGGGTTGGGTCAGTGGGGAGTTTAGGCAATGCACACATCTTAAATATGTTGTCCCTGTTTGAGAAAATGGGGTTAAATTTTACGCCATGAAAATAGAAAATTGTTGGTTTATCAATTCTCATTAAATTTCACAAGATGTATACTAACTCCCTTTCCAAACGACAACCATTCAAAAACCTGCTTATATATCTTAATCATGATAAAGGTACAAAAGATTTTAAAGATAAAGATTTTCCTGAAGGAGGGTGACAAATTCAAAAAACCGCCATTTTGTTTAATTTGAGCCCCCGAAATGCCGAACTAAAAAAAAAGCAGGCCTTACATTTTACGTTTTATTTTGTACAAAAGAAAAAAGAAATGAAAAAAAATATATTGTAAATTACTGCATACATTTTAAAAAGCTGCCATTATTCCACGAAAGGGGGGCCCTCACCCCCTTGCCCCCTCCCCCCGCCTACGCCCTGCAGGATTTTAAAATAAGGGGGGGGGGGGGGGGTTCAAGAACTCTATTTCCTGCATATTTCCTGCTTTTTAAGGAAAAAACCATAATTCCAGCGAGCCATATTTTAATCCTACCATAAGAGCGTAAAGACGGAACATAATCGGCTTCACAAAGAGGTTTGTGTTTAACTAACTCCCTCCTCGGAGCCACTACCGTAGACCCTTACCGTTTGTTGAAGCTGATTGTTTCCATCCACTACGTAAACAATCAAGGGTACGACTCCTTTGCTTAAGAATTCCTCCACGACAAGGTCCAAAGCTTCGTTCTCGTTGCGACCGGGAGAATCAATGAGCTCTATTCCACATTCCAATAGTTTAATATCTTTGACTCCTACTTCTACTATGGTCTTGAGCTTTTCCCCATCTTGGCGTTCGTCGTCCTTCAGGACAATATATTTCCTGGGAACTTTATCCTTGAAAGTCCTGGTTTCTTGTTTGTGACCTTGAGAGTCCACCAGAGTAACATAGTTCTCATTGCCTGAGCTGTACACCATTCGCACTAGTCGTGCAGTACACGGAGTTTCGTGGGTAGGAAGTATATGTTTACCCAAGAATACATTCAGCAGAGTGGTTTTACCGCAGTTATGGGTTCCAATAAACAAAACACAAGGCAAACGATTGCCAAAGTTGAAATCTGGAACCTGGAGTGCAGGCAGAGAGAACAAAGGCTCAGTTCGTCGACTGGCTTTTATTAGATCTTGGATTTCCTTCAGACATCTTGTGGTGTCCCTATGAAGAGCAGCAATCTCAGCAATGTGGGTTTTGTAATCACAGACAGTTTTCTTGAGGGATTCTTTTGCACTCAGACGGAAAGCTAACGAATCTCCCATGTTTACCACTTGTTACTCGGCCACTGTTTGCAATTAGTTATATCGTGGTAGCTTCATGTACAGCTAGCATCCAATGTAAAGTTCGATCCTACACATATTGAATGCAAGCCCGAAATTACTCGCATAAAAACTGCATTTCAACAGTCTGTTATTATTTTTTGCTTAAGAAAAGAACAAAGTTTCAGCAGCCCGTTTTGATATTTTCTTGGAATCAGACTTTTATATTGCGCATGTTTCAAAACACTTCCGCCTATCATGTGTTCAAATTTAGAACACCGGAACGGACCACCGGAACGGACCACCAGAACGGACCACCGGAACGGACCACCGGAACCGTTACCGGAACCGTTACCGCGGAACAGCCGGAACCATCAGAACAAAAATCAGAACCTCCAAAAAGAAAATCGAAACGAGGTCCGGAAAGACTCATCCTAGTGTCCTAGGGTTATTCTCTCCATTTCCCCCTAAGCTTTACGCTAAGGAACGGACCGGCATATAATTGAGGGAGGGTGGGTTGCGTAAATCCCCAAAAAAATTTCCAGCAAGCACTTCACCGCTACGAAAAAATATCGCGCAACCTCTCCTTTCAGTAAAGAAATATTGAGCAAACACACCAAAAATAGCGTGCAGTTCTACAGAGATGCAAGGGATTAGCCGATATGGTCTGGGGACCGACTGGTCTCTCCCCTGATGCTTCCGCATCACATAAAAGGTAGCTAAAGGTACTGACTTATTAGGTTTGATTGACGGCAGCAAAAAAAACCCAAAAAAAAACGAATTTCAGCGTGCAGCTCGCAGACACAGAGTTCGCATGTTTATGAAAATTGCAGTTAAACTTTCAAAACGAAATGTCTTGTTGTACATAGGAACCAGCTAATGGAACCTCGTACCCAGAGCTCCTCACAGTTAATCTTCTTAAAATGCTCTTGCACATGCGTAGTAATTCATTACATTTCCCGCCTTTTTTGAAACGCGCGCACACGCGTTTATCATTCGCTATAAAAAAAATACGATAAAAAGAAAATGCGAAACATTAGATATATAACAAATCAAAAGTAATTTTCACTAGAACAATTAAAAAGAAGGAAAAAGCGAGTTTTCATGTCAAAGAAACCCCACGTTTCCGCTAAGCCATGGCCAGTTATTATAAACGTATCCTTGTCGAACAGCGAAGTTCGTCAGATACTAGAAAAGGACCATAAAGTACGAGGTAAGATAAGATGTAAGTAAAAAAACTTGAAGATTTGCTACCTCGGAATAAAATAAGACTAAAGTTCTTATTATTAACTTATAACAATTATGTTGTTATTCTTCAGTAAGCGACACAACAGGCGAGGACACTATTATTTTCCCATTATCTTCTGTCGCCTTCTTGCTTCTCGAACTGGATCGCGTTATGGTTGGAAATGGGAAAGGAGGCGAAAGTCTCGACCTACAGCTTATAAAAAGGTATGAATTATCAAAGAAAATAGTTTATATTTCCTGGTATGAGTAGACCGGCAAAAAGCTACAAGAAAGCCGATAAATTGGACAACAAAACTACTTATGCTAATATTTCTTTTTGAACAAGGCTGGAGAGATTTCATCAAATCCACAGACATTGCTATGTGATAGTTGTGTCCCAAATGATGGCATCCAAACAACTGGAATCCCTAGTGGCTCTTCAAGGAAGGTATAGGATAAGCTTAAACTAGATATAGAGGATAGTACAGGGGCGACAGAGATACGGATTTTATCTTTAAGGTTCGAGGTGATACGCCTCCATAAAAACATAATTTCTCACCCTTGGAATTTTTTTTACAGGTTTTTAAATTTACATATGGGATTTATTCCAGCACACAACCCCAAAGAGATTATAGACTGCATGATAAGTATTACCAAGGTAATACGATGACTATGGGCCACAGGGCACGATATATGGCTCAAGAGAATGAGTACAAAGAATTCAAAGTAACAATCTTTCTTTTCGAGGCCTGTGAGCATTTATTTTATGACACATAACAAAATCATGTCAATTCCACTCTTAATGTGTTACTAAAGAGTGTAACACTACAACTGAGATCTTAGTCAACTATCTGGTTGCAAAATAATTTCAGGAGTGAAGATATTACTAGTGCTCATAAAAATCCTGATACGTACCATCCATGAGGGCACAGGCCACCCATATCAAAAAAAGGATTGCTACTTTAGTATCATTACTTATGCTCTGTAACTGGGTTCTCTGCAAAGACCAGTAACTTTTAAGCTTAATTTGCCATAATGATTTTCAATTTCAAATGTCATTTATAATAATTATGTTATGATCTAGGTAACTTGCAAACCACTCTCACAAATTATCCAAGACCGACTTCAAAATCTGCAGTCATCAACACTAACTGAGAGTGTGGTACTTCATGTTCTGTCAAATCTGGGACTTACAATGCATGATATCCTTTATTAATCATTATATATCAGAGGATGATCTTGAAATTTTCTATAAAAAATCAGTTTCTGGTTTGGAACCCTAACCCTATTGACACAACATGCTAAATTCTTATTTGTGAACAGAGTTAGCCATGCTCTTCCTAATAACTCAGCCAGGAGATATATTGTTTTAGGGTTCCACAAAATTTGTGCACAATTTAGTTTGATATGTAGGCAAATGGCAAATATTACTTTTACAAAGCAAAAAAAGAGTAAAAATTCCTACTGTATATAGTTGGCTTTTGAAAATTAGATGCTCTCTCATTGGGTAAAAGCGTAGAATAGTACCCCCCCCCCCCTTATCTAGTCAGCTGACAGGTACTACAGTACTCCCTTAAATAAGGTAAGCACAATAGAAATGTCAACCAGGAGAAGTGTGTAAATCAAATAATGCCAAATAATACCTTATTTGCATTCAATTCTAAAACGAATTTTCTTCAATGGCCAAACAAATATATCAATATGATATTATTTTAGATAGATCTTCATGGGTTTATGATGGCTCTCTCTTGTAAATAACCACATAGACAGGAGTTTCATTAAGACTGTATGGTGCGGATTGTTCACAATAGCCATGGCAGTTTAAGTCAGAGAATTTTGCTCATTTGCCAGCACATTCTCAAATCTCTGACCCTTAATGAAACCCCTCCATAGACTAGCCACTCATATTGTATATATTTCATTTATAATAAAGCCAATATTATAATTAAAAGCTTTCCATGACTAATATCTTACAATGCTTTGTTCTTCATGATGGATGTCAGACAATTGCAAACATAGCAAAAGCTTCAACAGAGGAACTAATGGATTGTAGTTTGGACCAAACAACAGCAAAGAAAATTACAAACTTTTTCGAAAAGGATTACATTGGAACATATACGAGATTCTGACAAAAAATCTTCTTATTTTGAAAATATTTTGAGTTTTATAAAGAATGCATTGATTTTGTAGTAGTCATTTTTAAATAGACTTCAAAAAATTGATGGTGAAATTAAGAAAGATATTTATAAATTCATAAAGCAACACAATTACTATTCACATTATACTGTTTTTTCAATATTGTAATATTGTTATTGATTCAAAATGTTATAATTGATGGTTGAATAGAACTCTGCTATAAATTGTGTGCCTGAAAAAGTAAAATAAAAAGTAGTTATAATCAATTATAAATGTAATTATAACAAAAATACTGATGCTCAAGAAATTTCTTGTCATACTAACCTTTCTTCTTCTCCAAGAATAAAATATAAGATTAATAATGAATGGCCAAAGTATGAGGAATGCTACTGTCTTTGATGGAATAAATTGCCTCCACCATGAACCTTGGTCTTCTCTGCTGGTAAGTGTGCTTATCTAAAGAATACACAAATACAATATTTATTACAGATTAGAGTAAAAAGCCTTTCAATTTCTTCATCATAACTACAGCCCCCTCCCTCCCCCTCATGCTCCATAACTCCGACTAGCTTCTCAACTTCGTTGAGAACCTGGTTGGTTGACTGATAACCAATGACTTCTTGACTTGTGCTGTCAATCAAGAGTACCCATCTTGCATGTATAAGAACAAAGAACCATTCTGTAAGCCATCACTACAATGTATTAAGTACTTACATTCTGAAGCCTTTCTTGTCTCAAGGCCATTACATCTTCCATTGTACCTAGTCTTCTTAAGACTCTGCTCATATCTTGTTGCAGTCTTTCTAAAGCTATCATAATTCTCTCATTGATTTCCTCTCTTTCACCACAGGAATCACAGCTTTCGCCATTGGGATTTGTATCATCACTGTCACTATCACTGTGGCCTGCACTTCTTCCATGCAGCATTCTTGAATCTGGTAAGCTATTACCAGCTGGAACAAAAAATTACAGCATGCACAATAAGCATATTACTGCTAAAAACTGCTTTCTACAACTAATTCTCAGTAATGTAAAGCTAAAGTGTCTGCAAGTCGTTGGTGAGACACTAACCAACTATACTCAGAATACGATATGGGTTGTTCACAATAGCTGGGGTAATAAAATTGATAGCTGTCACACTAAGATTATATGACAGATTTCATCAAATTAATGATTATCCTACCATTGCTTCCTAAGCCCCCTCCTTGTCCACTAGTCTGAGAAAACCCTAAGCTTGCTGGTGGCTGTCTTAAGCCTTTGGAAGCATCACCCCCTCCACAACCACTACCAGCTTGTTTAACTTTAAGGATTCCTCCATTAAGGTGGTTGGAAGCTTTAAGACCATTTGAATTAGTGGGAGCAATATGTGGTTCATTAACCCTTCTTCTTCCATTTGAATCCTTGTGTTCGTGTTTGGTCTTTGTTGTTGACTTCTCCTCATCATCAAATGTCACATGCACAGGCTTCTTTTCAAATGGAGTGCTGGTATGTCGGTTGGTAGTTGATAACTCCTCATTCTCAACATCAGACATATCTGACTCAGTCAGTGAAGAGGCTGGTATGTGATCAGGTGAGCTAGTAGATGCACTACTATTATGAGACTCAGTCGAACCATTCAGTTTATGGGTATCAACCAAACCACTCTGGAGAACAGATAAATGTTCTGGGTCTATGGAATCACAGAATTCTTCATCTTCGCTTTCATCACTAGATGGCAGTGCACTTGACTGATCTGTTTGACCATTATCTTTCATGGTACTCTGCACAACTCTCAGTTGTGGGTTCTGACCTGCTGATGATAATGAATCGATTTATATGTTCATAAATATTGCCACATTATTATACAATAATTAATAACTTTTCTCAACAAAACCAGTATTTCAATGTTATGTATCATATTATGATACCTGCCTTTTTGAAACGTTTTTAAAAATATTTTCTGTCAAACTTACAGTATAATCACTACCCCTTTATGCAAAGGGATGCATTTAAATTGTAACATAAAAGAACAACCTGAATCATTTTCTTGCATTTCCCAAGGTCAAACAGAATTTTTTGAATTAATGATATAAACCTTTGTTTTTTCTTCTTATTTTTTTAAAAAGGTTTTTGGTAAAGCTTATAAATGCATAAAAATTATTATGCAATGATAATAATGCTGTTTAGAGTTTTCAAGACCAACCTAACAGTAGTCAAAATGAAAACACAAATATTTTCACTTTTTGCAGAGTTATTACTTTCAAAACACAATTTGAAAATTCTAAAATTATCTATCAAATACCTGTTTGGATGGTTTAGATATGTTATGGTTTAGGTATGTCATGTGTTGGCCGAACATCACTGAACACATGGCCAATGGTTGGCCAATACATGGTCAACACACAGTAGATAGTCAGCCACAGCTCGATCAACAGTCAGCCGACTATTGACCAACAACTGGGCGATAGTAGACCAACACAATCGGCTGGTCATACAGTATGCAATTACCATCATAACTTACCATGGTCATTATCATTTAAGAGATCCTCTGAATCTTCTTTGTTAAGAGGAGAGCCTTTCTTTTTGTTGCTTACTTCAACAATATACAGAGAATTTGGTTGTAAGCTTGTGATGTGTGCATCATCCAACAATGATGCATTCAAATGAGAACCATTTACATTCTCAAATTTATCACCTACATCTTCCAATGAATTAGCTGCATCCTTAGCATTTTCATCTGATTTGCTTAGTATATTCATAGTATTGTTACTATCATGATTAAGACTATAATGTTCCAGTACATCAGCATCAATATGATCACCATTAATTTGATCATTTGAATCTGCTTCCTTTGACTTCAATACATTTTCAAGAGATATCTCTATTCTGTCATTTTCAAACGTCTTTGATTTTTCATCATAACTTTGTGAATTTGTAACTGGCATTTCTTTGGAAAGGTTATGATAATTGGCCTTTTCTGGGGATTCTACTGATTTCTTAAAAACTCGAAGGATGTGTGGTGGTTCTTGGCCAGATGGTTCATAAACAGCTTCATAAAATGATTTGAGCACAGTACTGAAGTCTGCCATCTCTTCAGTATCTGGCATGGTTTCCATGACCTAAAAAATGATGAAATATAGTTAGATATTGGTAACTTAAAATAATATTATAAATCTTCTGTCAATTTGTCGATGGTAAGCATCTAATGTAAAAAAGGTAAATATATATATACACATATAGAAAAATATTTATAGATCATAAAACTTGTAAGATTTTAAAGTGATTTAAACAATGTTGATTTAAACATATAGTTTTATGGTTTTCACGTGCACAAAGCAATTAGTAAACATTGGCATTTTGGCAATGCAAGCTTGTGATAGTCATTTCTTTCTGACATGGCTATAACATTGAAACCTTAATGTTGTACATGAATTTTTCACTTGTGTAAAATGTGATCGTTTTGATACTCCTTTCTTGGTTATTAGTCTATATCTATTTACTTAATAAACTTCCACAGCGCTCTTTTAAAGTTCAAGTGTTTTGATTGTGCCGCTTATCTGGGGACGGTGCTTTAACGGTGGCAATCTTTAAAATTCATAATGCTCGTAAATAAAAAAAAGCAAATGTTAACAATGAACAATGAATGCAGCGCTTTCAAGAGCAATGTAATATTTTTGCTCTCATATGCAGCACTTAATTAGGGGTGGAGCCCTATTTAATCAGTAGCTATTGTATAATTAAAATCCATACAATGCAGAGTTTACTTTACCATTTGTTTGTTTGGCTGTCAAGGTTAGCCCCTTCCCTTTTATATACATCCAACTAACCCACTACTGAGGTTGACATACCTGCTTGAGCTCATTAATGTAGCATTCCATTGCCTCTTCTTTTGAAATATTACCAAGTGCTGACCAAGCTTCCCTAAGAAAGGAATTGTATTCATATTACACATACATCATATCTAGACCTGAGAAATATCTCCATCTCCACACTGCAGAGTGGTTTATAGCTTGTGACAAACATATTTACAATACCAGCTTTATGGAAAATCTTGGGGGCAGCATAATGTAGTGAGGTTGTACAATATATAGAGGTTACAGTTGGCTAAGCATCTGATACAGCATATTTTTACAAGTCAATTATTATTTTGGTGAGCCTTTAGGCTTTACTGGACATTAGTGATAAATACTGGGAAAAACTATTCCAATGTTATGGCATTTTGTACCATGTACATGCTATAATTCAGAATGTTTCCAACTCATACAAAAACTGCTCTAACTCTTTTCTCCTTTTACTCTGTAGGAAATTTAATTCACTTCCCTCAATATGGAATGCCCATTCTGCCTTACTAACAAACACTCTCTCAACCACAGGGGGGAAAACCGGATTCCCAAATTGGGAATTTGTTGGGAATTTACTTGAATTCCCAACCAATTCCCATCCAATTCCCAGAGAGAACGAAATTGGGAACATGGCACTGATTCCCAATGTTAGTTTGTTGGGAATTTTGTTTTTCTATTGGGTATTAGAAGGAAATTCCCAACAATAAATCCCAACGTCGGTGTTCGAATTGGGAATTTAAGGAAATTCCCAACAATTCCCAATTTGGGAATCCGTTTTTTTCCCCAGTGAATGTTTGCTAGAACAAAGCACATAAATTAAAATGTTAGTCACATTTGTAAGAATCGATAGCTTTTATCCAAAATATTGATGATATGATTAAAAAAGTTAAATGTCTACACAAATGTCTCACCATTTGGCTTTTTTGACAACATCCCAGAAACCAGGCTTTGATTCAGTGCAAGGTCCTTCTTTAGCTTGCTTGAAATACCCATAAAACTAAAGAAATATTAAAACCTAAGCATCTTTGCACAGTAGCAGTACTGTTATTTTATGTCGTTGACTTTAGCTAAAGTGAAAATAATTTCGTTCAGAAATAATATTTTCAAAAAAAGATTAAATTCACTTAATCTCGTGATGCAACTTTTGACGTGCGGTTTAGAGTTTCTATGAGGAAAGCATTTGCAATTTATCTTTGTTTTTAACATCGTTTAAATTAAGATTTTGGTTTTATTTTAGGATAAATAAATACAAATTATTTATAGAAAGTTTGAATACTAGCTAAATATCAGAATATCAAAACAAACCTTTAGCATCGTTTCGTAGGAAGGTTGATACGCCCCTAGAAGAATTTAAACAATTATAAAACGATGAATTAAGATTATAAAAACCAAAAAATAAAACATAAAACTATCGAATAAGCTACCTTTCTTTGGCATAGAGCGTATCACCTTCACTGCAGCTTCAAATTGACTCTCCACGTCCGCCATCTTGGATAGTCTATGTAACAAACGTAGATGTGTCACGTGATTTACTTTCTCCTCTGTGTGGTTGAGTTGACTGAGGTCGAGCAATGTTCGAAAAACGAAAGAAATTAATATGAGAAGAAGAAGAAAAATAGACATGTATGTGAAATATGTGAATTTTTCTGCTGTATGCAAATATTGCATTTTTATGAAAATATTTGGAAAAGGGGTTTAAAAAAAGCTGATTAAGACCATTTCAAAAAGTGCGTTTATAAGAAAATAAAAAATATTACATACCGTAAATCCTCTATTTAGCCCCCCGGGGGGCTTATTTATTTCAGGCACGTTTGAGGGAGGGCTTATT